CATGGTTTTTATAANACAAGGAAACTGGTAGCCCCGTCACACCGGACTGCGACCATTTACGATCTAACGACTACTAGAAATGGTCGCCGGCAACGTGACCAAAACGTGAGAAAAAGTCTCTTAAAATTACAAAATCTACAAACAGTCGCTGATGTTCACCAGACTTTCACTCGTCGACCGAGATTAGAACCAACGACCATATTTTATGCACAAAAGTATGTCGATTTTCAAAAACTCGTTTTAAAGCTGGCATATAGTGTTCTCGAAGGATTAGTTGGGACTACCTTGGTACATGTAATTTTTGTAGCTTTTATTTATTTATTGCCTTTCAGGTGTGAAACCATACAAATGTGAGAATTGTGGAAAGTCGTTTACTCAACGTTGTTCGTTAGAATCCCACGGCAAGAAAGTTCATGGTTCCGACTTCCGGTTTGAATATAAACAACGACGGAACAAGATGTATGTATGTGAAGACTGTGGTCATACGACACCTGATCCTGAAATCCATTTCATCCACCTGAAAGAGAATCACCCAGGATGCCCAGCTCTTGTCAAATGCCATGATAAAAGACAATTTAAGTTTAACGACTCCAGTAACACGAATGTGCTTCGACCTGTCAATTAGGTCTGACGCCATTTTGATGAGAAATTGAGTTACTTCCCTTTATAAATGTAGAAATGAGCGGTCACTCTGATTGGTATCATTGGTCATCCAGTACCTTTCTGCCTATTTAAGGTCACTCGTGGTTGTTATTAGCATTCTATTTACACGGGAAAGTTAACCCCTGAATGTCTAAATTGAAGAGCCAACAAGTTTAATTGAAACTGTATTCAAAAGTGCTAAATGTTGATCTTGGTTTTATATGTTTTTTTCCGAGCTTGTAACTTAGTACCCCTATTATCATTTTTGAACTCTTCGCACATAACGAGATTAGAAGAATATATTTAAGAAGAGAGGGGTATTTTTGTAGCCCTGCCTGTCACTGCATCTTACCATTTGGCTAAATCAAGAAAACCTGAAAATTTCTATTTTTTTCGTCTTTTCCTAATTCTTGTCTATATCTTTTATTTCTGTGTATATAGCTCTTTGATTTCTCACGGTTATTTCTCTAAAATAATCATTGTTTGTTATTTTTTTGATATGTTGTTTTTTTCTGTTATTATTTTTTAGTCG